ACTACCTACTACTACAACTAGTACGTTACGTTCGTTCGTAGTACTCTACCACCTACTACTTGTTGTGTAGTAGAGTACTACTACAACGAATAGACACCTACTCTCTCTCTCTCTCTCTCTCTCTCTCTCTCTCTCTCGATTTTTTGATACTTTGGCATGTCCTGATCAATCTATTTCCCTTGTGTTTCAGGCGCACACAGTATTGGGTTTTGCCACTGTGGCTTCTTCAACGAACGACTGTACAATTTCATGGGCACCGGCTTCCCTGATTCTACGATGGATTTCAGTGTGGCCCAAAGCCTAAGAAGTACTTGCCCCCAGCCCTTGCAGCAAATCACCAATACAAGTGCAGACCCAAGAATTTTCATGGATCAAAGCACCAATTCCCCTTTCTCTCTTGACAACTCGTTCTATCATGGTGTGCTTAGTGGAAGATCAGTTCTGCAACTTGATCAAGAGCTCGCCTACACTGATGTTACGAGTACAATGGCTCTAAATTTTTCAAGAAACAAAACTCTTTTTTTGCAGAGATTCTCAAAGGCCATGATTAAATTAGGAAATGTTGGAGTTTTAACAGGTCTTCAAGGTGAGATTCGACAAAACTGTCGAGCAATCAATATGGGGAAGTGAAATTCTCAAATGTAAACTGAAACCCAATTCACATTTTTTGTACCAAGTTTCGCTCACTTTTTCACTGAAATAAAGATCTAATTTTATTTTATTCCAATAAGAATGCTCAAGTTTCACGATTATTTCCTTGCAATTTTGCTTCAGATCCAAACTGACATATATAGCTAAATAAATAAACCCGGCCTAAAACCAGCATTGCTATCTCTAGCCGATGACAAGCCTCTCTCTCTCTCTCTCACACACACACACATGCCCACACATACAGTAGTAGTGAAGAAGAAAAGAGCGCAGGTTCTCTTTCCTTTATTCATGATAAATTAAAATCATATTCTTTTACAATATTCTGATACAAATAAAGATCGAAAATGCACAATTATGAATAAGACGAAAACTCTAGCACCCGAAACTTCCAAAGCAAGAAGACATAATGATGCTACCAGAGAGACCCTTTATTTCAAGCAGCCTAAACTTCGTCCCCTGATGCGCTGAAATACCAGGAAATCGACCCACTCCCCCAAATTTTAAACAGAGAAAAGAGGAAAAATAAGAGAAATCAACCTTCTTTTCTAGCTATTCACAAAAGCACAGTGCTTCCTAATCTCACCAGAGCTACCTGTTTTCACATCAATTTCCCCCATTTTCACCATCGATTTTGCGAATTCCTTGAAGAAATCTTCAGGTGTTCCATTGGTAAGATCTTCGACCAAGGATTTGGAAGTGGAGTCAGTAATGAGAGCTGCATCAGAGGTGAAGAGCCCTCTTCTCTTAAGAACTAGGCGGTAGTATGAGAGATCAAAGGTCCTGAAGCTCCCAGGATCCATCTCAACAATGGTTGTGTTATCAGTTTGAGTTCTGCATTTCCTCTGCTTAAGGTTGGCTACATAGTTGCTGTCCATTGAAGGGTCCTGGTCTCCAACTCCAGTGAAATTGTAGAGTCTTCTGCTAAATGAGGTGCAGCGAGCGATTCCAATAGTGTGTCCACCTTAAATAGAAAAAGATGGTTCGTTTATTTTTAGTAGACAGGGTGACAATGCAGATGGATATTTCCAGTAAGAAGACTGAAAATGCAGAGAAAAAAAAAAACTCACTTCTTAGATCTCCTGTTAATGGAATTTCTTTGATTCTTAAATGCGGAATCAGATTTACTAGAAAAACTTAAATTAAAGAGGTGGAGTCAAGCCACATTGTTAAAATTGAAGGGAAGTAGAACAGCAATGTGAGCAGGGTTCAGAGATTTTTTGGTAAAGAAATTTTTGTAAAGAACAAACTTTTGGGGCCCAAAACTAGTAGCAGAATTACCTTTGATTCAATTTGAGGATTGAGAATTCTTATAAAGGTACGAGAAAATGTATGGATTTGGAGGGTTCGGAGAGAGAAAAAAACAGAGGAAATGTTGAGATTTTTACCCGATAGCAGAACGAGATCCTTGACACTGAGGCTTTTGTTGGCAAATGATTCTTTGAGAGTGGTGAAGTTATTAGTAGGGGCTGGAATTTGAGCATTGGCCTCGGCTCTGAGAGAAACACTCCCATCTCTTCGTCCCGTGGGCACCTTCCAAAAGGGTCCTCCCTTTAATTTTGTAGACAGAAACAGATTTGGGTTTTGATCAGCAAAGGAAGGCATTCATATATTTGTATAATGAAAACAAGCAGTATTCTTGAATCTTTATGGAATTAAGTAGTGGAAGGTTTGAAAAAGTGATGCATACTAGAACGCCAACTGAATCTCTTGCAGACAGAGCGAGAATGTCGGCACAGGACACGACGCCAGGGCATTCTGCTTCGACTAAGACTTTCACTCTATCGATCTGGTCGAAACCCCGGAGCGTGAGGTTGGGATTTGCTTCCTTTTCTGATGTGCTGTTTGATGTGGAGTTCAGCAATACAGATCCATCGCATCCCTGAGAAATAAGCCACACAACCACAAGAAACATGAAAGAGAGAGAGCAATGTGCCAAAATATTGCCTAATCTAAGAGAATGTAACCATGAAACTGCAAAAAAATGTATGTTGTGGTTTTTCTCCCAGATGAAAGAAGGACCACCTTTAAAAATGTCAAAATTCCAGCTACTCTGAACTTGAAATTTCAGTTTAAAAGCAAGTCTTTAGACATCCATTACTACTGCTGTGAAAGTTTAAGCAGCTTTATCAAACTGTTTTTGGGGCTCTTTATATTTCAAATTAGCAAATGTAAAAACTACAAAATGCTATTTTCCATGCAACTTAAGCAGTAAAAAATACAAAATGCTATTTTCCACGCAACTTAAGCAGTAAAAGATACAAAATGCTATTTTCCATGAGAGAAAGCGAGAGAGAGAGAGAGAGAGAGAGGAGTAGAAAGAAAGAACAAAGTGTAGGAAGACTACCACCTACTACAAACAACGACGTACGTACAGTAGGTAAGTCGACACTTCGTAGAAACGTAAAACTAGA